AGGAGGAAACTACTTCACCTTTATGATAACCTTACAAGGTATTTTCATTTATAAAAGGGAAAATTCTATGGCTACATTTTTCGAACTATTTAGTATTCTAAATGTGTCTTTATAAGTATCTCAAGATGTCTTTAAAATTTTACTGTTTTTGGATCTGCTCATCATTTACAAAGTATTTTTTTACTTTTCCATATAAATAAAAATATCCTCCAGCTCACAGTATGCATCCAAAGCAGAATTCTGGCTTGAAGAATTCGAGAGCAACTTCCAAGGCAAACTTCTCACAACAGATGGTCTAAACTCTGCGATTCATTCCCTATTTGCAGCAAAACCCAAGTTCATGAGTGATATAAGGTTAGCAAACCCTTCTCCAGATCATTCTCAAAGTTTGACATTATTCTAGGTTCAATCTTAAAGGAGATATTGAAGCTACAAAGATGCTATTGCGCATTCGTTCTCTCAAACCTTCTCACGATAAGCCTCGTGCAGAGTTTTTGAGACACGTGATTCGAAAGAGTGGTTTCGATGGTTTCGCATACGACACAAGGTAAGAAATTATCAGATTTTTACCAATTTATTAATTAATCCCTGCAAATTTTGAAGTCAAATGACGATATCCCTAGGAGAACTGATGGCTTCGCTGGCCTTCAATTTTTCTATAAAGTTTTTCTCTTGTAAACTGAAATTTAAATGCCTCCTTGTTATATCAGTAAGGTCTAGGATAACCTCGTAATTTAGAATAAAGAAGATGTGGCCAATTTGATAATCATGTATATTAGATCAGGTTATGATGTGAAACGTACCATGTTTTCGAAATGAAACACAATGAATTTGTCACCATTTTTGCCTTCAGCCTTCCGAGTTACTTTGCAAAAAAGTTTTTAGCGTTTCTGGAACTTCGTTTATATATGTAATGATATCTTAGTTCGGAAGCTATTGTGATCTAAGCAAAAGTTTAAGCCACCTAAAACCTTGCATTATTCTGTTACTGTAATGGCCAGAATAATGGGATCCTTCTATAAATGGAAATCTAGTTGAAGCTAACTTTGAAAGTTGAACCATCAAGGTTTAAGAAAGATCCGAAGGAAAGAAAGCAATGATCAAACAGTGGGCACATTTCTTCGGGACAACAATGTTACCTGCTATTTCTAAATTGCGATATGATGATTTGAGTCTGCTATGGTAGCGCTGCTAAGTTTTTGTCGCCAACAGTCAGTAAAACAAACTAATTTGCACTACAAGACGTTCTAGATTGTGTCATATAAAAATGAATTGATCGACCATGTTGTCCTCATAGTAGAGAAAAGTGTTTTTTGAACAATTCCAAGGACGTATATGGACGATCTGGCAGATGTAAAGTACTGAATTTATGATCATATAAATATTTTAGTTTTTTACTCGTCGATCAACAACTGGCCACTGTTTCCGGGGTGGTGATTAATGTGATTACCGCTGTAATTACAATGCTAGTCATATGTGTTCTGATGGTGGGTATTTCCATTTTTTACAGTTTGCCTTACAAACTCTTAATATCATTACTATCACAGAGTTTGTCTTGGAACAGTGACTTTGAAAAAAGAGGAGTCTCAATTCAGAAAAGGAGAATTGTATTGAATCATTAATGTGGGAAATCGAAGACTTCTTGTACAGTGAAACGTTTATCAAAAAATTGTAATTAAAACTAAAATTTTGAGGGAACAAACATTGGCAATCATTGCTTCTTTACTCTTCAAATACTATTGTCAGGTACCTCGCCCAATGTCAGCCGCATGCATCGCTATTGCAATTCTCTCCATCAATGTTGGTGTGGTAGGAGCATTATCAGCAGTTGGGACAAGACTGGACATTATATCGATGATAACCATCGTTATGAGTATAGGATTTTCAGGTGCATTTCCTACCCTCCGTCAAAATTCCGTCCGAAGCTTTACCTGAGTTCTTGAAAATATAACCCAAAACAATCTTCAAAATCAAAAGGTCCTTCTAAAACATAAAGAAAGTCATTTTTTATTGGAGATCCCTAGATAAATGTTTAGACGATTTCAAAATTAAACGTAAGGCTGGAAAATCGAAAATCAAAATAATACTCGTGTTAAGATTAGTTAATTCG